AAATCTTATTGAATACCTTGTGAAAGCCCATAAAAAGTTACATTAATCAAAATTCCCTTATTTACTACTTCATTATTTGCCCCTGGAATTCAATTTGGTTTATTTGACGTGACCTACCCACTTACAAATCCATCTTGGCTCTAAATCAGTTCGAACTTCTCAAGGTACTCTGTCACTCAGTCCTTAATTGGAGATTGCAGAAACTTTCCCAAAACATACATACAATTTCTTCATATCTCTCTCGCTCACTCTCTCAATCCTCTCAAATAATGGGGTGCAAATAATGCAAATTGACAATGAGATCAGACCCGAAGACAATCCCTTTGGAAGCCATGGCCTGTGCAATTCCTCCACCCAAATAAAAGGGCACAAAAATATATGTTTCCCTTTGTTCAGGTGAAGGACCTTCTAGACCCCCAGGTAACTAGAGGCCAGTGAGCGTGACGTCAGTAGTGAAGCTGTTGCAGAAGAAACTGAGAGACAGAATTTATTCACATTTGGAAGCAAATGGGCTTATTAATTATAGGCAGACTAGGTTTGTGTGGGGAAGACCATGCCTCACCAACTTGATTGAGTTTTTTGAGGAGGTGACAAGAACGATTGGTGAGGGATGGGCAGTCTATATGGACTTTAAGGCATTTGATAAGGTATCTCGTGGCAGGCTGGTTCAGAAGGTAGAGTCTCATGGGATCATGGATGAGCTGGCTAGATGGATACAAAACTGGCTTGGTCATAGAAGACAGAGAGTAGTATTGGAAAAGTGCTTTTAGGAATGGAGATTAGTAACTAGTAGTGTTCGATCTGCAGGAAAACGCAGGTGGTCTGATTCGTAAGTTTGTGTATGACACCAAAATTGGTGGAATTGCAGATACTGAGGAGGACTGTCAAAGGATACAGCAGAATATAGATAGATTGCACATTTGGGCAGAGAAAAGTAGACACAGTTTATTCTGGACAATTGTGAGGTAATGCATTTTGGAAGATCAAATTCAGGTGCGAATTATACAATAAATGGCAGAACCCTTAGGGGCACTGACATGCAGAGGGATCCGGGCATACAGGTCCACAGGTCTTTGGAAGTGGCAACACAGGTGGATAAAGGTGGTCAAGGCAGCATACAGCACACTAGCCTTCATCTGCAAGGGCATCAAATGTAAAAGTTAGCAAGTTATATTACAGCTGTATAAAACTTTAGTTAGGCTACATTTAGAATATTACGTGCAATTCTGGTTGCCACACTATTATAAAAGGACGTGGACGCTTTGGAGAGTGTGCAGGGAAGGTTTACCAGGACATTGCTTGATCTGGAGTGTTTTAGTTACGAGGAGATGTTAGATAAACTGATTGTATTCAGTGGAAAGATGGAGGCTGATGGAGGACTACAAAATTATGAGAGGCATAGATAGGGTGGATAGTTAGAGGCTTTTTTCCAGGGTGGAAAGGTCAGCTGGAAGGGGGCACAGGTTCAAGGTGAGGGGGAAGTTTAGGGAAGAAATGCGGGGAAAATTTTTAGAGGGTGGTGAGTGCCTGGAATGCACTAGCAGAGGAGCTGGTTGAAACTGGCATGTTAGCAACGTTTAAGGCTTATCTTGGTAGACACATGAATGGGAGGAGAACAGTGGGACAGAAACCGCACACGGGTAATAAGTAGCAGGGCTAAGTAAGGGAAAGGAATTAGCGCAGGCTTGGTGGGCCGAAGGGCATGTTCCTGCTTGTACTGTATTGTACAGAATCATAGAATCCCTACAGTGTGGAAGCAGGCCTTTCTGCCCAACAGGTCCTACAACGACCCTCCAAAGAGCATCCCACCCAGACCCACTCACCCCTGTAACCCTATGTTTCCCTTGGCTAATCCATCTAACCTGCACATCTTTGGATTGTGGGAAGAAACCAAAGTGCAAACTCCAGATAGTCGACTGAGGGTGGAATTGAGCCTGGGTGTCTGGTACTGTGAGACAGCAGTGCTAACCACTGCTATATTGCAAAACTGAAACAAATGCAGTCTGTAGTGATATAGAACATAGAACAGCACAGCACAGGCCCTTCGGCCCACGATGTCATGCCAACCTATTATCCTACTAAGATCAATCTACCCTGCATGTCCTACACTTTACTATCCTCCATGTGCCTATCCAAGAATTGCTTAAAAGTCTCTTAAGTATCTGACTTCGCTACCACTGCCGACAGTGCATTCCACACGCCCACCACTCTGTGAAGAACCTACCTCTGACATCTCCCCTATACCTTCCTCCAATCACCTTAAAATTATGCCCCCTTGTAATAGTCATTTCCGCCCTGGGAAAAAGTCTCTGACTATCCACTCTATCTATGCCTCTCATCAACTTTTAATGCCAACTTCTTATCGGTTATACAAAACTGGTCAAAATGAAACAGTTGAACATGACAGCAGTGGTTTGAGTGGAGAGAAGAAAATGGAGATCCTAACCGTTTAACATCCCACAAGGGCAGCTGACAGAACTGAAAGGCATTATTTCTCAATATTAGCTCAAGATGTGGTTCTCACGGAATAGTCGTTGTATCTCACTGAAGGTTTGTTATGTGCCACCTATCAATATGTTGTACTTTCAACTAGTGACTTAATGACTTCTTAGAAGAAATTTCCACCCCCCCCGCCGTTAGTACAGTCTGGACTTTGGCAAAATGTTACAGCTAAATATGTTCAACCTTCTTAGACAATGAAGTGAATCAAAAATCAATCAACACTATGTGTACTTTTAAATATTTGCAGAAAATCAATCATTTAGATATTTCAAGAACATGGAATCCAAAGGCTTCAGAACTTACAAATTGTTTTGAGGCATGAGAAAACAAAGCAGGAGATTAGAACTTCTTTGCAATAGAAAATTATCAGGAAGTAGCCTTATTAAAACTTTGGATATTAAATGATTGTACACCTTGTGATGGAGATTTGGCATAATGCAACAGCTGAATATCTCTCAGAGTACGTAATATACCAAGATTTGGAGTGGTGTTTGTAAACTAGTTGAAGCTAATGAGTAAGCAAAAAAGAACAATGCACATTGAAGATCCACATCAAAATCAACATTTGTCTTCTATTCGCCCCTTCAAACATTCTGGCCACTATAAAATAAGGACATAGCGACCCAAATTAATAAGAGCCTTAAAAACCCAACAAGCCACAATTATACACCTGGTAGTTCAAGCTGATTTACATGCATTCTAAATGATTTTCTCTCAGGCATCAGGTGCAATGCATCAGATAGTTTTTAAGACAACTGGGTTTATAGGGTTCTTTTGGCACTGTGGTAGCATCCCTATCTCAGAGCCGGGAAGCCTGGGTGCAAGTCCCATCTGTTCCAGAGATGTGTAATAATATTGCTGAATAGGGTGATTTAAAAAACAAACAGTGGGTTAAATATTTCACTAGGAAATCTGTTAAAGCGGACAGAACCACAGGCAAGTTATTAACCTAGTTAAAGCTAATAGTTTCATCAAACTGGAAGCAAGTTACTAGTGGTATCCTATGCCCAGGAAATCTCTTCTTACATTTTCTTGTACTGTCAGAGTTTACCTGACTTATTTATTCATGACTTCAAATTTGCCTGTAAAGTCTGTTTACAGCTGAAACAGCAGGTAAATTACCTCAGTATTTGTACAATATTCTATACAGTGAAGTATTTTAGAATCTTCCAACTACTCATTGTGACGGTCTTTCTTCTGCTGATTTTCAGTAATTTCAATTGAACATGTTTACAGAAAATGCTAGAAATTAATTTTTTTTAATGTAATGCAGCTTTGGATTCCAGTGTATTAGGAGATGAAGTAACATCACAAAGAATACATTTCACACATTATTTAAATATTGTTAGACCACTATTGGATATCCATAAAAGTGTGTTGAAACACTGCAATAACCTATCAACCTGACTATATACAAATACACAACACCAGAATCTAGTTGACTCTTGAATCCACTTCAATGATCTTCTTGGATAAACCTATTCTACAAGTCTTTTGCCCATCAGGTATAAACATTGTTGCAGATATCTTTTCTGACTTGACCTCCTAATTTTGAACTTGTATGCATGATGTGAAAATGACTGCGCTCCTTAGTACTCTACATCATCAATATTCCGTTGAAATTGAATTTACGTGTCACTTAATTGCTACTACTGGATACTGTGTTTTCTCTCAGTCTTTGAGACTTGCAGACATCTGGAATTGTGGTTGATGGCTAAGCGCTTTGCACTTGTTTTGCAAATTAGACTTTGAAAGCCACTAAAATTAACAATTAAAATCAAGTAGGGAAAAAAGCTTCCAGGAATACCTTGAGATATAATTTAACAATAAATCTACAATGTGCAAATAAACTGAACTAGGATCTAAAATTTGGCTTAAATGTACCAATATTGACTTTGCAATTTGTAGTTCAGAGCTATTTAATAAAAGATTAAATTATTGTGAATATTCATGAATCCGATTCTTAGGAGCCAATTGCCCAAAAACAATTTTGTTTTTGACCTAACTTAATTAGATGATCGGTACGTGTTACAATTGGTGGAGAAGATACCATATTATGCTCGTTCATTAATGGACAAAATAAAAAGACTAATGCAAAATCAAACTCTAACGAACTTGGAAAAAGTCTACATTGTTCAAAGCCAACAATCTACCTTCAAATAAAAGGAACAGAAGGTCTTTTAAGCTGGAGTTATGACCGTTCAGTTCAAAATACCCCAACATAACCAATATTAAGAGTGTTCAAAAGATTGTTTATTTGATTAAAAAAATTAACATAACGCATCATATATAATGGAAAACTTGCAGTCAGACTTACAGCATTATTGAAATAGCAGTTAATGATCCAATGCATGTTCAAATATGATTTTTTAAAAATTAGTAGCTGGTCCTATGTTAGATGACCCTTAATGAGTTTCACTGTAATGTACTGAAGCTGGACATAATAATGCAGTTGTGGAGTTATGCATCTAAAGACAACTTAAAACAAAAAAACTCACCTGGACATATCCATTGTGTTGTATTTTGTGGCAAATGGATTTTTGGAATCAAATTCACAACTGCTGTGAAAGTTTCCTGAAAATGGGTTTAGTGGATTTGGATCACTAATACCATCTGACTTTATGTTGCTAGCCTTTTCAGACTTTTTGACATCTTTCTTGCCAGTCACACGTGCAAAGAGGCTGATTTTATCCTTCTCTTTGTCTCTCTTGGTTTCTTGTTTAATTTCTGGATGTCTATAATTTGCGGTGGTTTCAAAACTTGCGTCTCTGATCTGCCAGGAGCTGCTGTTGTTGTCAAAAGGATTTCTGCTTCTTGGAAGTGTGGCGGCCTTCTGTGATATATATAAGCCTTGCTTTGAAAATGGATCAGCTGGTGGTTTTGCTGGATCACTCCCATTCTTTGTGACAGAAATTAGATCAAATTGGTTCACCTTGGAGGTATCCATGCTTTGTGATCTTCGGTGAGGTGATTTGGCCAGGGAGTCACTACCTGCGAGGATTTTAAATTGGGTGGGGGAGAAAAAATAAGCTTCAATTTAAGTTTGGTTTAAATTGTAAAATCAGAAACACACAGATATCTGAGGTAGCTTGAAAACATCTTCTAAAAGTGGAAATTTCAAATATACATCCATCACATTAACTAACTTTCATAAGAACTTTATAAAAGCAAAAATTAATCTAATAGTTTTTAATGGTTCCAAATTTCACAATTACAACAAATACTTATATTAAAAATAAGGCAACTGGCATTGATATAGCACTTCTATGACCAGTGAATGTTCAAATGCTCACTTCAACTAATTAGGTACTTTAGAAGTACCTACAAAAGTTCTAACAAGACCAGCCATTGTAAATGCAGGGAAGGATGTTCCAGAGGTCACAGTCTAAGGAAAGTGGGTAGGCCACTTCGGACTCAGATGAAGAGAAATTTCTTAACTCGGAACACTGAGTCTATGGAATTCTCTGCCACAGAAAACAGTTGAGGCAAAAACATTTAATATTTTCAAGGAATTAGATATCATGTGTAGGAATCAAGGGTATGGGAGAAAATGTGAGAACAGGTTGAAGAGCTTGATGATCAGCTATGATCATATTGAATGAAGCTGGAAGGGCCAAATGGCCTACTCCAGCTCTTATTTCCTATCTTTGAAATATAGTCACTGTACTAATATAGCAAAATCTCACAAACAGTGATGTGGCATTTATCAGATTATCGGTTTCAGTGATGCTGGTTTTACAACCACTCAAGTAGACGAGGTTGCATGACCCATCCAAAAATCAGTGCCTCAGACAACATAACATTCCCTCAGTTCTGCTGTGATGTGTCAGCCTTAATTTTTGCACTCAAGCCATGAGTGGGACTTAAATCCAGGCTTTATGAATCAGAGGCAAACATGCTACCCAAGTGAACTACAGCTGGCATTACTAACTACCTTAAAAAATACTGAATATTTCTCACTTATTTGAGGAGCGTCAGATCTGAATAATATTAGCTTTCAAAAGTTTCAGGAATGGTGTTGATATCATTATAGTTTGTTTGGCATACTGAATAGATGAATTCCCTTATTCATTATGAAATGTAATGGGAAATCCAAAACATATGACGGCACTGTATTACTTTTTTTAACACTGTATTCAGGTGGAGAGGAATGAATATACCTCATTTTTTTTTACAGCCTTCTATTGCAGGATATCTATGGGAAGATACTTAAAATGATGGGGAAAAAAACAAGATGCAAGCATGTTTATACTGCAAACCACATTATGCAAGCCTACTTTAAATCTTCCCCTTTTCACAAGTCAAACGAAACTTGCTTGATCATAGAATATTACAGCAAAGGTGACCATCACGTTTATGCTGGCTCTTTGATAAAGAAATCTAGTTAGTCCACTCGCTCATTTGTCTCTGTATTCCAGACTTTTTATTCCTCTCTTCAAGGATTTATCCAATTCCTTTTTGCAGCCTATTACTGAATCTGCATTAACCAACCTATTAGAGTGCATTTTCATCCTAACAACTCATTGTGCAAGGATATCTTTCTCATTTTGCCTCTGGTTCTTTTGCAAATCACTTTAAAAGTCACTATCAATCATTCAGCCAATGGAAGCACATTCTCTTTATTTATCAAGTCCATCCATGATATTAAACACAATAATATCTCCTCTTAGGTTTTTTTTGTTCTAAGGTGATAATGCTTATGTCAACACAATCCGGATTTAGAGTGCAAGCTGCCACAGCTTGTTACTTGCTGAAACACTGATGCATGTTTTTGATATCTCTAGACCTGACCATTCATTACTTTTAGACAGCCTCTCATCTTTCACTCTCTATAAACTTGTATTTCATCAAAACTTTGCTGCATGTTATTCTTGGCACCTAGACCTTTCAACCCAACACTCATGAGCTCTCTGACCCAGTTAAGTCTAGCTCTAGAGAGGGGTGCAAAAGATGGTCAGGGCTTTTAGGGTGGGGTCAGACAGATAGGTCAATGGAAAGTGGCAGGGGTTGGGTCGGGATTTTGTTAGGTTTTCGTCGGGTCGGGAAGTCTTGATAGTGGTAGATTTCAATTTAACAGTTACCTAGGAGTTGACGCAGGTTTTAAATTTGTTTAATTTTTCCTCGGTAACCATTAAGCCAAATTAGTAGGAATCCTCAGAAATCTCCAAGTAACCGAGTTGAGGGCTGTTTTGGAGGCTAGTAGGCACCATATAATGGAAGTTTCTACTTCCAGGACAACTCCGTGTCGGAAGTTTCACATAGTCCCATCACACAACACTAGTCTATGTCGCTGCCATACTTACCTTCCCATCAGAAAGTCTGGGCAAAGTTGTTGAAAATCTCAAAAAAAGACTTTATTTGCTGGTTGAAATTACAATTTTTTTTTCTTACTTGCTAGAAAATTAACCAGACTAAGAGAAATAATCCTAAATTTCAATTAACAGCAAACATTCTAGCTATTGGAGATATTCATAGAATCAAAGACTGATTATAGCAGAGAAACATACTAGTGCTTCTCCTCTAAAAGTCATTCAAATTTAATTTCCACATAATCCATACCATTTAATAGGATATACCCTGGTTCAAGCATCTAGTTCAAGAGTTTGTGGCCGATTATCACATTCTAACTATCATCTGAAGGAAACGACAAACCCTTCATGACAATGTTGCTGACCAATAGGAACATCTATCACTATTTATCCCATCATAATGCTACACAGAAAGAGGAAAAAAAGCCCATGTCTGTCTGTAAATCCCTTTTATTCCCTCTTTAATCAATTTTGCTCAGTAACATTGTAGCACATCTACATTGTAACTTGGCCATTTCTTTAAATACTTCCTACAATCATCCTCAGGGAGATCTCTTCAGGGAATATTAGAGACAAACAGCTTCAAAGTATTCAAGATCTATATTTCTGGATAAATACAATATAAACCGTCTTTAAGTATTAAATAACCGCATATGCTAGAATACGTTTCAAGGCTAAGAAAAGTGGAGAGGTTCATCCTTGGCCCCTCTTTCTGGTGAACATGCAGCCCCCCCGGAGGCATTTGACAGCATTTACACCTATATATCCAGCTGTAATTTCTGAATTTGATTACAGGTATTTCTGCTATAACACGTGTTTCTTTAACGTGAATTGGCTGTAATGTGATTAATGAATAGTGGACTCTATTTGGATAACGTGAACTTTCTATTGTACGGTATAGTGATTTTCTATAGCAATTTCCCAATAACGCAATTTTCTATGGTGATTTTCTGTGGCACGAGATCACAAAAACACAACTATCGCATTATAGGAGAAATACCTATATTTGTATACTGCCAGGCCACTTGTTCAAAATTATATTTTAACTGTGTTGTAATATCCTCCAGCTAAACAATCAGATGGACAAAGCAGCAGTTTCAAATCTGAACTAATGCCATCACCACAATCTCAGGCAGAATGACTTAGTAATCTCAGCATACATTTGCACTGTTGAGCAGGATTTCTAATCTTATATCCTCTCAATCAGGAGGACCATCTTTTCACACCCCCATTATATTACCTGCCTTTGCTACTTTAGAGTCATAGAGACATACAGCACGGAAACAGACCCTTTGGTCCAACCAGTCCATGCCGAACATAATCCCAAACTAAACTGGTCCCACTTGCCTGCTCTTGGCCCAAATCCCTCCAAACCTTCTTCAGAAGGGTCTAGGCCCGAAACGTCAGCCTTCCTGCTCGGCCTGCTGTGTTCATCCAGCTCTACACCTTGCTATCTCAGATTCTCCAGCATCTGCAGTTCCTACCATCTCCCTCCAAACCTTTCCTATTAACGTAGCTATCCAAATGTGTTTTAAATGCTGTAATTGTACCCACATCTGCCACTTCCTCAGGAAGTTCATTTCATACACAAACAACCCTGTATGTAAAAAATTTGCCCCTTGTCTTTTTTTAAATCTCTCGTCTCATTTGAAAAATGTGCCTCGTCGTCTTGAAATCCCCCATTCTAGGGAAAAGACAATGACCATTAACTCTATCTATACCCCTCATTATTTTGTACACTTTCTCTAAAGGTCACCTCTCAACCTCCTCCACTCCAGTGAAAAAAGTCCCAGCCTATCCAGCCTTTCTTTGTAACTCAAACCTTTCATACCCAGCAACATCCTGGTGAATCTCTTCTGAACCCTCTCCAGTTTACTAATATCCTTCCTATAACTGGGCGACCAGAGCTTCAAGCAAATCTGCCTCTGATCCTGTCACCAAAAGGCAAATTTAATCCCACGCATGCCTGTTCAGTGAACTTTGACAAACCCAAAATGCTGATCCACACATTCTATCACAAATCAAATCCTCCTATCACACTAATCCTTGATGACCCACAGTGACTCCCTGTCCCAAATTTATATGCTCAAGTCAGAATTCAAATCCTACTATGATCCCAGTTCTCTCAATCCATAACCTTTACCAGCACTGCTACTACCAACTCATCCATTTCCCTTATCCAAGCCCTCTCTCACTTCACCATTGACGGATGTGTTTCAGCTCCTTAATTTCTATGATTTGAAATGATAAACATAAGAAAAGTAGATCATATGGCTTTCAAGCCTGCTCCACTAAGTTCATCATCATATCTTGTATGAAATTTCAAAAAAATGTACTACTTTTACCAATCTTCCTAATCTTTCATTGCTTGGGTTAGGGTGCTTTTTTTTGCTGATCACACTGGCTCACATCTCATTAAGTCCAATTTTACACCTTATACAGCAGGAACTGGTATTGTTTTGGTGCTCCAAAATGTAACTAAAGCATTCCAATCAAATAATAGATACAATCAATGAATATACTCGCTTCATTATTTAGTTTCATAAAGTATAGTGACCACAAAAGAGACAGAAGTTTACAGTCAAAATAATTCAAATTTTCATTAACTCAAAAACAATAAATAAACCTTTTACTACACTTAAACCAGTTCATGATGTTTCAGTGTTGTCATTAATTCATGCTTAATTTTGTATTCAATTTACTTGGCTTTTGTATTTTTTTTTTTGACTTGATACTAATACCTCCTCAGCAGAATGCAGAATAGACTAAAAAGTTCATAAAAGCCAAATCTGAAAAAAAATGCTTTTCTATGAAGCAAATTAATTTTAGCCTTTCTAACTCAAAGTAAATCAAAATATGTACTTAAAGCAAAACGAGTATAATTCGGTCTTTGTGAACGAACTTACCTTTTTCTTCACTGGAGTGAACAGAGTCTGTAGGAGATTTGTAGACTACATGGCCTATGGTATTAGATTTGATTTTCCCCAGCGATGGACGGGGACCAGGTAAATCTGACATTGACTGGGCAGATGATAACCTCTGTGGTCCCAAGAGAAAGGCTCTTTTTGGCTTTGATTTGAGTTCTAAGTCTGTCTCCAATGCTTCTTGATCAGGTTTAGCAGATGTACTTGGAATTATTGCAGATGAATGATCAGAAAAAGTGGCATCATTTTTTCTTCCCTTCATTTTGTCTTTCAGTTTCGCAAAAGGGGACCTTGTTTTATCCTTCATGGAAAGGTCGAACATACTTGCAGTCATATTGTTTCGCATGAACTGGATGGAAACCTGAATTGCACCTCTTTCCTTTGACTTCTTTCCTGGTTTAGATTCCAACTTGAACCACCTAAACACAATGTAGAACTTGTTATTATGCATAAGAACGGATACGAATGCAAATATTAAGGCACAGCTTAACTCAGCACAGTAGTCTAAAATAAAATCATTTCTAATTTTGTATTAAAACAGTGATCATTGCTAAAGGTGCATGTCTAATTTTATTCATTAGGCTTAGCCTAAAACAATTGTTAAAAGGAAGTTACTACGACTGTACAGCACATTAAATGAAAGGTTCTACTTTGAGATGAAGGTTTTGGAGTTTTAGCTTGAATACCAATGCAGAAAGTTATTTCAGTAAACGAGAACGTGAAAAATATTTAGGCATCAGTACAAAGTTGGGTATAGCTTGTGACGTACACAGGTCTTTGTAGAACGGATTATGCATTGAAACTACTATTTTTTTAAAATCCTGGTTGGTTCAAGGATTGACATTTAACCTTGTCTTTTTTGTCAAATTACATGCCTTCAGCTTGAACATTAACCACCGCTTTATAGACTTGTGCGCTTTAAGTTTATTTGTACCGCTTCTGCAAAATTAAAGTTCATTTAGCAAGGGAAGTTGACCAGGTCTCATCTCTATGGATTAATAATATCATATGAACTTTTAAATTTAAGTGGCACATAACTGAAAACGTCTAAATATTACAAAAATTTATGTCTGATCTACATAATCTAGTCAATTCATTATAGCATCCATCATATCTGACATTCATCAGTTATATTTTGCCTTGTTTTCTAAAAAAGGACCTGTTAACTTAACATGCATGCATACCCACATCAGCTTGCTTCAACTTTTTACAATAACATTCCCTGACTCTAGAGCACGTGTACAAATGTGAATAACTGAGACACCATGACTTAACATTTCACTATTCATTGCTGTTGGCCATTATAGATTCCATTTCAATGGACAAGCTCAAAATGCTGCATCAAAAGCTACATTCTTGTAAACTAATTACAAAAGTTAATGCCAGCTTTCATACAAAAAGACTAAAGCTAAATAGGCAATAGCTAGCAATACAAGAGAATACTAAATTTTCTTTCTAAATGTACTAACTGTTTCAGGTGAACTATGAAACAAGGCTACTGGTGAGCAGCAAGCAAAATTCAGTGAGCAATGATTAGAAATAACATTTCACAAAATGTACAGTTTTCTCAATTAAAATGTTTTCCTATCATTGTTAGCAGCAATTCTTAACTTAGCAAGGGTATGCATAGGCAATAGGTCTCAAATGGAACATTGTCATTTTACATTAAGGGCTGAATCTTCCCACATTTTGGCATTTTGGTCAGGTTTCATAAATTTTTTTTCCCTGCAAGGGCTAGTGAGTCTTCTTGTGCTATCACCTCAAACTTGCCTCATTACCTATCTACTGTCACCCTATGTTGTCTTTCCTATCTGATGTTAGCTGAATTCTACTGTTCACTTCGGCCGGAAGGCTAGGATTTGATTGGATTTGATTTATTTATCGTCACGTGCACCTAAGTACAATGAAAAGCTGTGTTTGCGAGCAGTACAGGCAGACCATAGTAAGCAAGGGCACACATGTCAGTGTTATGAAGTTGGCTAGAGTAATTGTGAACTGGAAGGCAAGAAGCTGAAGCGTGTAAAAACCAAAAAAGAGCTGCAGATGCTGTAAATCAGGAACAAAAACAGAAGTTGCTGGAAAAGCTCAGCAGGTCTGGCAGCATCTGTGAAGAAAAAGTCAAAGTCAGAGTTAACGTTCCAGGTCCGGTGAACCTTCTTCAGAACTCACTGGACCCGAAACGTTAACTCTGACTTTTTCTTCACAGATGCTGCCAGACCTGCAAAGCTTTTCCAGCTAAAGTGTGTGGTTCCTTTAAAGAGATTTGTGCTTTGACTGTACTTAGAAATTTTAAAAAAACATACGTCTGTGATCAGCAGCTGAAGTTGCCAGTACAGAGAGCCTCAAAAAGTGAAACAACTGTATCAAAAAAGCCTTATAGGTGGCAAGAAAAACAGCAGTCTTGTTCTGATGTGACAAGTTTGAATTTGGCCAATTAATTGAAACAAAGCACCTAGATACAGAAAGCCAATTGAGTTTAAATCTGATGGTATTAACAACCTGAAACCAAATCATATTACAAGATTTTGATTATGTCATTACAGGTATATAAGAGGAAGGCATTTGGAAAATTGTGGAGAGTCAACTGCCATCTGAGAGAATCAACTGCTTTCTGCCAGAGTTAGCACCATTTAGCTCTCAGAGAAATCTCATCTACTGAATCAAAAGTACCGCAGCATTTTAGGTCAAAGTCCTCATTGAAGAAATTAGTGAGGTCAAACATCCCTGAAAGCAGAATTAACAGAAGAAAAGTGTTTGTGAAGAGACTGGAGACGACAGAATATTCCAGATGACAGTCTGTTTGAACTTGGAGAGATTAAGTTATAATTTATTGCTTATTAATTGGGTTAATTGGGAAGGTCTTATGAGGAAAGGCTGAGGGTCTTGAGGCTGTTTTCGTTAGAGAGAAGGTGGTTAAGAGGTGACTTGATAGAGACATACAAGATGATCAGAGGATTAGATAGGGTGGACAGTGGGAGCCTTTTTCCTCGGATGGTGATGGCTAGCACGAGGGGACATAGCTTTAAATTGAGGGGTGATAGATATAGGACAGATGTCAGAGGTAGGTTCTTTACTCAGAGAGTAGTAAGGGCGTGGAATGCCCTGCCTGCAAAAATAGTAGACTCGCCAACTTTAAGGGCATTTAAATGGTCATTGGATAAACATGTGGATGATAATGGAATAGTTTAGGTTAGATGGGCTTCAGATTGGTTTCACAGGTCAGCGCAACATCGAGGGCCGAAGGGCCTGTACTGCGCTGTAATGTTCTATGTTCTATGTTAATATTAGTGGGACTTGTCTTTATTTAAACAGCATTCCAGTAGAATTTAGACCAGTTCGGGAGTAGTTAGTAGTCGAAAGGGTAATGGTCAGTTTGTCAGTAAATTTTGTTTATTTAACCCAACAATGAACAAATTAATAGTGTTTTGTTACTTGTAAAGTGGAGGTCAGGAATTTTCTTTTAACCGATCTTAACAGATTACGAGGGGATAGACAAGCTTCTCTGGGTGTTTTGGGGATAATTATTTAGAAGGGAACCCCTATTCCTGTTATAACAGATTGGGGCTTGTGTTGTAGTTTAATTATCAGAGGGGTTCGGCCATTCCCCCTCTGTAATGCATAGGGTGAAAACAACTTGGACAGAGTAAGGCATAGACATTATACCATACAGGATGTGCCCTAGACAAGATCAACATTAACAAAATCAGCTTTATCCTAGAACAACCATCCATCTCTGGCACTACCTTTAAAAGGCTGTTGTGCACCTAGAAAAGAGGTGCCTTGCAGACAGAAACCTGGAGGTACTGGTGTATGGGGATGGGGGCCCATAATTCCCTGTTTCAGCAGTGACTCCAGCTCAATGCCTTCCCAACTACATTGGCATTAACAGCTGTACCACCCACTTGCATTGTATTCATAATACCTCCCCTTTCTCTCAGTCCAGCAGGAAAGGGAATGAGCAGAAAGAGCCACAGTAGGTGGTTGGGTGCCTACATTCAGCTTCTCACCGCTAATGAGAAGAGGGCCCTGGCTCTACTTGCCTCAACCTACCAGCTGGCTAGGCCCAAGCCTCTGGTCTGATATCAGATGCTGCCCTAGAATTATTACATTGAGTCTCTTGGCTGAAGTAAGGGTGTCTTCCTTCACTTGACTTCCCTCCAACTTGGAGAGACGGCCATTTGGTTGAAGCACATGCGGTGTGGTGCCTTGTCAGCTGCTGGCACATGGTGCAGGGCTAACACTGACATATACAGTGATGTGCAGTAACATTCACCCCCTTGACTCTGATTGCTAGTCATGACAAGTTGCCTGGCTGTCTTTGCAACCTAAAAAGCAAGGCGGGCAAGACAGACTAAAGCAGAGATGCCATAAGCATCCAAGTAGATGCAGGTTGAGTGAGCACTAGGAAAGAGCACCAGCAAACAAGCAGCTCTGAGCTGCAGCCTGATGCTATCCTTGAGCCAGGTTCCTGCCCTTGTGAACAAAGTGTTCTTGCAACAGCATTGCAATGACTGTTGCGAATGTACTAGGAAATGCAGTATTGTAGTACAGACATGTACTGTAAGCGGATTGGGTATGTACCATGATAGTATGGAGTGGTTGATACATGTCAGATGCCAAGGTCTATGAACATAGGGAGCATACACACATTTGTATTAGAACAACATTTCTTATATCTGTAAGAACATTGAATAAATTCTGAAGTATAAAGTCATAATAGATGGCACACATAACCAAACAATGAGATTTTACCAAAGATACAGCAATACAGTTGCATTTCACTCAGCACTTGACGAGTTATAGTATCTCTGTATCTGAGTATTACAATACACTGAACATTAAATGAATGCGCACTATTAGTTTAAATCTACTTCAGTAGTTGATCCAACTCCTAAAAACGTTAAAAAACAAAACTTACAAAGATGCATAATTTAAGCCTAATTGCACAAAGATGACCTCTGGCATACTCTGGATGAAAATTCCATTCCTACTTTATTTTTGAGTATGATGGAAAATGCTACTATAATCCTCTGTGTGCCATTAAAAACAAATTTTTACCAAACATGGAAATGCTTTGCAATTGCAGCTGGCAAAAAAATTCCATCATTTTCTTTGTACAAATAGCTGCCTAAATTAGACAGACATGCAGCTTTGGAACAATCAAGAGTTGTATTGTCCAATATGCCATTCTAGATAATGAGTTCTTTACAGTAAAGCAAATGATAGCTACTGTAAAGTGAAATTACATATTGTCATCTTCCAAAATCTCCACTATATTGAGAGTTGAACCTTATCCCTTCTTTAAGTTACTGTCAGAAGAAATCTGAATCTTGTTCACGAGAGCTCTTTCAAACTCAAATTCCCATTGGGGGCACGAGCATCTAAGAAAAAAAAGTGATGTAAAGAATCCTTCCATGTC